AACTCTGTTATAATATATGTTTCTATTGGAACAACTGTTCTATACTCTTTATTCCGTTAAGAACAAATGACTGTAATATTTCTACCATTTGGAACTTATATCATCAATGAACTCTATTTCATGACACATACAATACTGTATAGCCAAACGAATTAAAGACGAAAAGAATGTATTTTCCATTGAATATAATTGAAACCAACAGATTTTCTTTAGAAGTTGATCACTAGTTCTGATATTTTGAAGACTGTTTAGAATATGCCTACAGAACCATTTCCAGCAAATTTCAGAGCTAAACCCTTTTGGATTTAAGTTTCAGATAGGTAACGTTTACAAACTATAGACTACTTTTTTACACTTTGGATGAAAATTTCACCCATAGCAAAGTTGAAACGTTATCAAAAAGTGATCTACAGGTATACCATTTTTCTAAAAAATAAATATGCATTTGGTCCAGTGTGATCCCATTTGGATAAAACTTTGGGAGTCCCTGTTCCCTCAAAAGGGGTACCTTTCAAATACATCAAATATATAGATTAAAACTACCCAAATGAAAACTGTCTTTGCTAGTTAAGGAACTTATGATTTTCGTTTCGAAAATTTGAAACAAGTGTGAACATGTATGCTTTATAATTGAAAAATAATTCAGCACTTGAAATGTACTCGTTATAAAAGTGATAGGGAATTTACTCATCATACATTAGGCCATTAACTTCCTCTGTTGAACTGTTTCCCATTTTGTCATGCCAGGGCCTTTTGTAAGTTTGTTGTTGTTGGTCTATAGTTGTTTACCTACTCGTCCATGGTCTCTGGTGGAAAGTTGTCTCATTAGCAATCATACAACATCTCCTTTCCCTAATTTTACCTGTTTCCCTCGTCGAATGGTTTGTATCAACCTAAATTATGAGGTATGAGTTCTAGCCGTTTTTGCAGTGAAAAAGTTATAAACAAAATGATTATAAATAAGAAGATGTGGTCTGAGTGCCAATGAGACAACTCTCCATCCAAGTCACAATGTGTAAAAAGTAAACAATTATAGGTCAAAGTACGGCCTTCAACACGGAGCCATGGCTCACACCGAACAGCAAGCTATAAAGGGCTCCAAAATGACTAGTGTAAAACAATTCAAACAGGAAAACCAGCTGTATAATCTATATAAAAAACGAGAAATGTCAAACACTAAGACTTATGAAACATATCAACAAACGACAACCACCAAACAACAGGTTCCTGACTTAGGACAGATGCATACAAATGCAGCATAGTTGTGATTAATTAACGGATGCTAGCAAAATGCGTTTCAGTTTATAAATAATGATATTCTATTTGGATGCTTTAATTAAAAAAAACTGAAACTCATATAAGCAATATAAGCCTATTCGTAATTTCAACTGGTTGCTTTTCCAAAAGAAGAATTTTAAGTGTTCACACATTGTCATGTTACTGGAAATAAACTCTTTAGGTACACTCGAGACGAATTTGATGATATCATTGATGTTCATGTATATATGTCATATATTAAAAATTCTTCATTTAGGTGAAAATTCCAGTGGAAAATTACGAATTGACATATTGCGAAACGCGTTTTCACTACGATGGGCTAGTAACGCTGCTTGTGGAAGGTGATTACCGTGAAATGTCATTTGCCTAGTAGCATGTGATTCGCTATTGACATACTTATAATAATATTTTGACTTATTTTGTATTTTGTAGAATTATGTAATAGTGCTAAAGCTAAGGTTGAAACTCCCTCAGACAAAGTTGAATTTCACTTCAACGGTTTTGACTGATCAGTTTATGTCATTTTGGTTTTGTGCGCTCCGACGTTTTACATTTTTGGCTTTCCAAACTTTCGGTCTCAAGCGTACCTATTTCAAAAACACGTGTTGTACGCGTTCTCATTATCTTTAGCAATTTTAAGTGTTATGTTTGAATATTGTACAAATATGATACAATATATCATTTCGCATTAGTTTTGTCATCAAGTTAGGATAATGATCTGAAAAAATTCAGTATTTTGATAGGTGTAATGGAATTGTAACGGACCATGTACGTTTTCTAACATTGTCGTTCTTCATGTTGTTCTATTTTTAACATTAGAGAACTCAACTGTCGAAAATTTTAAATGACCAAACTTAAGTGTCGAATTAAAGCTTAAATTTAACATTATTATTTTACGATGTTCTGATCTAAAGTTTATTTTATTCAGAGCAGTACAAAATTACAAGGCGGTGTCTACCATTCAATTTTTTAAAGATGTAATTTCCTACTGTCTTTACCCCCCTTGACAGCCGCAAAAACCACTTTACACCACGAGCGTTTTTTTTTTTTATGTTGTTTGTGGATTTTTTGTATGTTCTTCATGTCTTAACTCTTCAGATAAGTACGAAACAAGAACAACTTACATAAAACCCCATGTCGTATAGTAAACTATAAAAATACCGACATAACAAAATGTGAAACAATTCACACAAAAAAAAAGGCCTGATTTGTGAAAAAAACAATCAACACAAACAGACAGCAAGCAACAATTACAACTGAATTACAGGCTCCTGGTTTGTAATTGGAACATACGCAATGTGGCGGGTGATAAATGATGTTTGTTAGCCCTCAAACCTCCCCTATATCCCGAGACAGTGATGTAAACAGCACAAAATAAGAACAAATTGTAAAGATTAGTTGAAAATGGATTGACTCAGCAGATTTGCACGAAGTTTAAAAAGAAATAACATAAAGCAACACAAACCCCACAAAAACTAGTCAATCTCGTGTGCTCCGGTAGGTTAAGCAGATCCTGCTCCACATATGGCTTCGTGCATGGTAAGTACAGTCACATTATTCTGTGATGTCTACTTCGGTGATGTCAAAATCATGGAAAAAGGACGATATTGTAGCTTCGACTATTAGAACAAATCTGGGGTCATCTGTGACACAAGAATTCCATAGCGGTCAACCAAATCATAAAGGGATTACTTCAGTTTTACCACTAGGAACACTTGGTTTAATGTCTTCCTTTTAAGCAGCTACCCTCTATCAAGGAAATCATGATAGGAAAACAAGCACTTGAATATTATATCGACTAGGAGGTATATACTCCATATGCTGGACTGATGGAGTGTTGCTACATAGAAATATTAAGTTCGCAAAAGGAAAGCTGAAATCATCTCTTGTGTCGTATGTTTTTGTTCTCAACCGACCCTCATTGTCAATTTCTAGATATGAGGCAAACTTTTATATAGATTAGACTGTTGGTTTTTCCGTTTGAATGGTTTTACACTAGTAATTGTTTGGGGCCCTTTATAGCTTGCTGTTCGGTGTGAGCCAATGCTCCGTGTTGAAGGCCGTACCTTGACCTATAATGGTTTACTTTTATAAATTGTAACTTGGATGGAGAGTTGTCTCATTGGCACTCATACCACATCTTCCTATATTTATTTATTATATCTGCGGTATCCTTTATTTCAAGTTCGATGGGATAAATGCGTTTAACATAGTCACAAATCAGGAATGGCTTAAAATGTTGCTGTTCTGTATGCAGTAGGCAATTGTTTATTCTTTCTTTTTTTCTATGATAAACAGAGAAAAATGTGCAATAAAAGTACAGAATATAGAATGATATATATTGACAAAGAAATGAAGACCCCTCCCTAAATCCAGCCCTTCTGTTAGTTTATAAACTGTTTATTAAACCATGTCAAACGGCTCATTATAAGCATATAATCAGAAAAAGAATTAAAACTGATTCGCACACTCTTACACATCCCACGTGACACATCCTTCACAGAAAATATCCAAATGCAAACAAATTGAACTCGGTCGTGTAAAGAGAGATAACTCTAACTTGGTTTAATATCTATAAAATGTTCATACAACTTTGAATTATTCATACCTGAGATTCATGCCCTGTCAGATAAATGTAGATAATTGTATTAACCAGTTGACTTCCTCGTTCAATTATCTATCATGCTATACAATTGAATCTAAATAGTCTAAAAAAATAAGATAACATGACAGGTGGTCTTCATTGGCCATAACAGATACATAAACCAATTGTCTTATATGTATAACTTCATTTATTTCACTTCATTTTTTCAAGCTAGAGAATATCCCGAATGTATCACCTAGAAATGTATTTCTCTTATGTGAGTATAAAGGACAACAAAATGAACAACTCTCTACCGATCGAGTTAATGGTACATAAACTTTCACTTGAATATTAGTTTTCCATGTTCCGATCAGTCTTCCTTTCATATCGATGCGGAGACTTTGATTACTGAATCTGAATCTGAAAATCATGGGTCGTTTATCTCGATTTTTTATATTAGGATAATTCAAAAATTAAAAAATTAACTCGAATGTAAAACATGTTTTGAGTTTTCGGTGGTCTAAGTAGTCCAACTACTTCTCTCCGGGCAATTCGGCTTCCGTCACCAATTAAAAATGACCGCAAAGAAATAGTCAATAGTCAGCTGAACGTGGCGTTAAGCACCAATCAATCAATCAATCGATCAATCTTGTATGAATTGAAGAATCTTTAACACTGTTCCAGTATTTTAGAAAATTTTGTTTTATGTGACTTTTTAGAAAATTTCAAATTTGTCTTTATACTTATGTTTTTAAAATTAGTAAGTCCAGATTTAACTTTTTAATTTGTTAAAGTGAATTTTCAAGGACATGCCAATGCAATAACATCTGATTGATATTATCAAAACTTCAATCTCTGTGACTCCAATAATATTTGTACAATATTTTTTTTTACCCCAAGAATGTATTTACCGTTTTTATATACAGATCAGAATGAACCTCTGACAAAAGTTATGCATTTGGATAAAAGCTCAATAATATCAAAAAAACTTGCGTTTTATTGTTTTTTACACTCTTAATTTCTTATCTTATCTTATCGTATAGTATATGTCATACAATTTTCCTTTTGCATCCTCACTATTTTTATCTCATGAAAGTTAGCGGGAGGTCACCGGAACAGCCAAAAGGTATTTTCCAACTTTTCAAACATGGCGGCTGATCTACTTCGGGAGCGACTCCCAGCACACCTGAGCATAGGTGTTACAAGAGACGGAAGAGTTTTCTTTGTTGAGTAAGTTTTCTGTGAAGAATGTCAATGTTAATCGTTTCAATCTGACATTTTATTCAACAATCGCGTCATTTTATTGTTTTAAATACCTTCCTCAAAGTTTTTCACACCTGTTGTTTTGTTTATGTTGACAGTGACCGAATTCAGACGACATCATGGCTTCATCCGAGAACGGGACAGCCAGTCAAAACGGGTCATAGACAAATTCAAGGTAAATATTCAAAGATAATAAACTAAATTTAATACCTAACATGCACGTTTTTGTAGAGAAATGGCGGGAGATTCCCATTTATAAGTAATGAATCACACTGTGTCAAAGTTGGGATGTTTACTCATCAACTTGTCAAACCAAGAATTTGCAGACTTGCAAATCTTAAAACATGACATATTACCATATATAATGATATAGGTAGTCTAGCCTTAAATGATTATTTTAATGGTTGATTTAATGTCTTCAAATCTACTATAAATGATTATAAATCAAATGTAATGAAAAATATTAGTTGTTAAAGAGTTCTCGCTCAGGGACCAGAAAATCTTAACTGTTCGGATATTGGTAAGTGAAGTCCCAGTCTATGAAGAAACCTATGAAGGACCTAGTGATCCCCAATTGACATGATTGAATTGTGATACATGCACTTCAGGTACTGATCCAGTAATTTTGAGAAAGGGTGTCCCCAAGCACAACAACATTAATTAGGAGTGGGACTTGTAAAAATCTATGCACTAACCATATATATGTATGTACATGTAGCTCTATTTTCGTTATGCTTGCCAGGACAAACAAACAATATTGTAATTTTGGTCTAATTGTAATTATAAATGTTATTGGGAATCTATTGAAAAATATGTTATATTAGAAAAGGTTGTAATTTTAAATATCATCAATCAGCATCATTACCAACGCATGAAACAAATCAAACTAACTGAGTGTCTGTGAGATCTTAGCGATCTTGAAAATTCCATTTACCAAAATTTTAGAAAAAAAAACTGCATCTGCATTTCCAAGTGAACTCAACATTAAACTGAAACTTACTTGTTGATTCACAAATTGTCATCATAGTTAATTGTAAAATTCAAGTTTACTTTGCATAGTTTAACTCCAAAAACTTTCTTTCACAATTAAATTTTGGTATTTGGTAGTAATGTGTATTACGAGATTAACCTGTTTTCATTAATGTCCCTCAGTAATAATTGTAGGTCTACCCTGAGAAACTACTACTACATTTATTTGTACATTAATTTTTTTTGTTTAGATATTTTATATTATGCCTCTGTGATTACTTACATTGTAGCTTGTAAAATTCATGTATATATTATAACTTTGTTATGAGAATGGTTTTCTTTAGTCTCAAACAATTTTTTTTCCAAATTTAATGAGATTTTCAACATTTGTTTTTGAATGGTTTCATTCAATGTATTTCATTTAAAAAAAATCATTCAAATGATGTATATGTAAAATAAGATAGTAATATATTTGAAATCATTGTAATCTACAATCACAAATGTTCAAATGCTTAACTGTAGAATGTCTGTTTACAACCATTAAATAATAATAAATACAAAAATTCAAATGCACAACTTTCACAATTTCTGATTCAATTGGTACCTCAAACTACTTAGTCCCCTAAAACACAAATTCAGTGTAATACCTCAATTTACTTAGTCCCCTAAAACACAAATTCAAAGTAATACCTCAATTTACTTAGTCCCCTAAAACACAAATTCAAAGTAATACCTCAATTTACTTAGTCCCCTTAAACACAAATTCAACGTAGAACCTCAATTTACTTAGTCCCCTAAAACACAATTTCAATGTGGTTAAAATATTTACTTACATGTACATTGATGTAGTCCCCATAAACACAATTTCAATGTGGTTCAAATATTTTTGAGTGCAATGTACATGTACCAGTGAGTGAGACATGCAAATATGTTACCATGGTTATACTTGTATATATCAGAATGACATAAAATAATGAGACAAGATCCAACCCTTCTATCCACTTCATTTGAACCTGGGTGGATTAGTTGTCTTATTGGCAATCATACCACATCTCCTAATTTTTATAAAAGTTGGTCAGGAAATACCAAATCTGTAATATCTAGATGCAAACAAAGAAAATTTAAGATACATGTATGAAACCATTCTTCATCAGTCAACTGACAATGGCTGAAGGACCAATTAACCATAAGGCAAACTGATCCGAATTATTGTTCTGTAAAACCCTTCCTAAATCTGTACATATCTATTTAATGTGAAGTGCCTTGAAGGCTCCAGAGGTCACATTGACTTGTAATGATTTCATATTATTATAGATGATGTGTTCAGAATGTAAATATGACATTAAACATGTTAAATATGTTAGAAATAAAATATTTTAAATTGTAAATATTTTTTATTGGGTCATTTAACAAATAACAACACAAATACCAGCTTTACATGTACATACCATTTAGGTAATTTGACCTACAATATGACAAATTAAGCCTTTTATCAAGAAAGATGTACCTTTTTTCCAGGTGATTGATAAAGGTTATACATCATATTTTTTGCAATCATAATCTTGCAGATCAATTAGATTTTGACTTGCATGTATCATTATAGACAAAGGTCTTCCCTATTATTGAAAATAGCATTTACTCAGTTAGCTATGTCAGGCATTCAGTCAGCGTATTTCTCACTAAGGATTTTTGAATGCGAGTCCAGGGACCCGATAACTTTCGCCTTGGCAAGACTAACAGTGAGAAGAAACAAATTTTATTGCTACATAAGTTATTATTTCAGTCTCCATCACAGCATTAAGAGCAAGGAAATGGCATCAAAATTTGATTATTTTTAATCTTTTGCTTTAGATTACTTAGTTGATACATTTGTAAAAATTTTACAATCTTCATGCATCTTTGGACTCACTAGTTTTGAAAATTTTGAGTCCAGGCTTCATGGACTCGTCTCAGTGTGATTCCTGAGTCAGACAATCTCTAAATGTCCTAAGCCAACTGTGCTTGAGGAATATAGTATGATTGTTGCTATACATGTGATAATTTATGTCATAGATCTGGTCATACATGGAACAGTCACCTACAAAGGCTTGTCTGATTGAATCAAAATTTGTTTGACCTATCAGACAGATGTAAGGAACTTTTTTTTCTCAGTAACAATAGAACCCTTAAACATCAGCTGTCCATAGGTAGGTTTGTTCCTTAGTGCAATACTGGTATACATAATACAATACTGGAATAAAAATTGTGTTCCAGTACTGTAAAAAAAAATTAAAAGACTGCATGTATACCAGTATAGTAGACAATACTGATGGGGTGGTACTGGGCAAAAACCACAATACTGGAACAATTCTGGAATACAATACTGCATGTTACTGGTACAACATTATCATTTCTGTATTGTACACAATACTGGTATATACATGTATGTATACAAATGTACCAGTATTGCGATCGCATAGCTAAGTACAGGAAATCCCTTTGAAATTAAACTAATATATATACCAGATGCTTTAATTGAATATGTGAAATGTTCAAGTGCAGATACAATACAGATGCATATTGAACAAATTTTATTAGTTTCTTAGGACTGACATCAGCTTATTTTGCAATGTCAGCTATATACATTGTATTTAATATATCTAAATAATAAGTATCAACACAGATTGATTCATTTATAATTGGATTACAATAAAAGAGGATTGAATTTATGTATTTATGACCTATTTTGACATTTCAAGTGTTTTTATAATAGTTTATGGATTTACCCTACCCTGATCAGAATTTAATCTTTAGATAAAAATTTATTGTGATTACAGTTAAAATAGCCTTAATAACTTTCTAAAAATCAATAGATATCTTTGTAGGAATGTTGTTGGGAAATTTGATTTTTGGGAGTAGATTGCACGGAATGCATTCAAAGCACTAACGTCTGACTTGCTTGATAACTATATTTTCCAGGCCATTTCTGTAACCTTTGAGAGCACAAACAAAACAGTGCAGTGAGGTGAACATTCTTTAGATCCTATTTATTTTCATGTCAAGCAATTTATTAAGATGTATACTCAATTATCATGATTATACATGTATAAGTTACAAAAAGATTTTTTTATTTATCATTTATTTAAACTTGTAAAGAAAAAGAACATATGAATATATTTTTATACATTAGCTTTATTAATGCAGACAAAGACTATTTGGTCATAGCATTACATTTAAATGTACATTAAAAGATGATTATTCATGTAGTATATATATATTGTGTAAGTGCCTATCCCAAGTCAGGAGCCTGTAATTCAGTGGTTGTCGTCTGTTGCTGTATGTCATATTTGTATTTTGTTTATTGTCGGGCTGTTAGTTTACTTGTTTGAATTGTTTTAAGTTTGTAATTTCGGGTCTTTTATAACTTACTATGCAGTATGGGTTTTGATCATTGTTGAAGGCTGTAAACTGACACATAGTTGTTAACTTCTATGTCATTTGGTCTCTGGTGGATAGTTGTCTCATTGCCAATCATATGACTTCCTATAATATAACAATTAAAAAAGATCACACATATTTCAATAGGAGATTCGAAATGTCGATTTTTTTTTAGGGGTGGAGGATGATAGTTCTTATTTTCAAGGTGACTCCAAAACTGAATAATATTTCACATCTACAAACTTATGTATCTGTCTTCTGATAACCTTTTACATTTATTGATACCCCTTTCAATTTATGTAATACAAAAATGGGAAAAGTATGAAAGATAATGAAACTGTCATGACTGGCCCTGTGCTACAGAAACTTCTGCTTTTTCAGAACCTTTTTTCTATTGACCCCATATTAAGGAACATATTGGACCAAACATAGTGCAGTGTTTATCAGGATTTTCATGTATGATGTACTGATTAATTACATGTACATTTTATACTTATTAGTTATAGGTCATGAACAGCTTTGTAAATTACACTGACTGTTGGTGTTGTTTGAGATGACCTTTAATCTGCCATAGTTTTTGTGGGGTCTCTTTTTTAGCTCACCTGGCCTGAAGGGCCAAGTGAGCTTTTCTCATCACTTGGCGTCCGTCGTCCGGCGTCGTCCGTCGTCGGCGTTAACTTTTTACATTTTGAACTTCTTCTAGAGAACCACTGAATGGAATGAAACCAAACATGGCATGAATGTTCCTTATGAGGTGCTGACCAAGTGTTGTTACTTTGTAGCCGATCC